TATGTTCTCTGTATTGTTTATGGTAATTAAACCATTGGTCCAGGCTGTATTGGCAGTCGTGAGCTTTGCCTTTACCAATCCGCACGGGCCCTTCGGCCGTTATAAAATAAAACTTAAAAAGAGCGGCAAAGTTTTGGAATTTTCTGAAAAAGTTGCGATTACAAGTTCTCACGATAAGGCTAATTTATAGATGCAATACGAATTAATAATAATTTCATTGACAGATGATACAACATTATTTTAACTTTAACAAGTTCTCAATCTAGATAATTCTATCTTTTGACGACTAAAGTTTGTCTTTTGAAATAAATAATAGAAATTGACTATTTTGTAACTTGTAATAAGTCGTTGTCTACTAATTTTATAGCAAATTATCAACTAATTAAAGTAGTTTAACAGCTTCCCTAGCCAAACTTTCTGAATACTCATTTTTTTCCTTAATAACATTCCAGTCCAACCTAGAGAAGTGGAAAGCCCCATAGGTGAGATAGAAGCCTCAATATATGCAGATAAAGTCTTACAGAATGCGGATTTGAACGCAGACGGCTTTGTCACATTCCCAGAATGGGTTTATAGATATAAAATGTTGCCTGTTGAAAAAATTGAAATGAGCAACGGGAATTTCGCATATGTTTAGTGATCATTGAAGACCATAGACTAGGATGGACTGGCCTATTCGCTAACGGTTTTTGACAGTTGGAAGTGATAATCACCGAGCTATTTTTTGATCTACCTACTATGTACTGCTTTGTTGTATGTAACGCAACTAAGATACTTGTTCGGAAAAGCATCGATGGATATGTTATCTTTTTCGTTACACAATGGAGTCGATTCATGCGTGTTTCTCTAAACTTAAAACTAATTTTAACATCTTATTAATTTATCTCTATACAGAATGAAAAGGATACACTGTTGTCAATTTTAAGTTTAGGTTTAGAGAATTGTTGAAAACCTGTCGAGTAGGCGGCACCGTGAAACCCGGCGTCACACGTCCACAGAGGTTGTCTTCGTGTGTCTAATGTTTAGACATTATCGGTTTTTATAAATAAACGAGGAATATGCTGAGGCATTGTCCTAATACAACGCAATCATCGCGCGTTTAAACGACGACTATCGCGTGATCGCGAACCGGGTGTCCTAATAGAACGCGAATACGGAACGGGTTAGCCCTGCCCCTCTCCCCGCTTCCTATCGACGCGACGCGATCATCGCGCGAACTTCAGTTAGGACACCTATTCATCATTAATAGGTTTGATTGCGCGAATAGATTTTTAAACATTTTAGTTTCGCGAATGCATCGCGCGATCGCCTATTAGGACACTTATTCTAGATCAATATGTTTGATCGTCGACTCGTACGATGATCGCATCGCTCATTCGCGTTATCGCGTTGTATTAGGACAATGCCTTAGACTAGTTAAGCTGTGTTTAGTTCATATCATTTAAATGCCATTTGTAATTCAATGAGCAGAGACAAAACATGGAGTAACGAATCCAAGCTTATTTTTTGTTTATTAATAAATAAGGGGTTATATGACCAACAACAGTATAAAATATCAAGAGAGATTATCTAGACACAAGAATGCACTAGCTGTAAAACTAGGTGGATGTGGATCTCTACAGCACACAAGATTAAAAAGACATAGTGTCCCTACACTCTTAGATAGATTCTGCCACAGGAAGTGAAAGTCACCCAACAATTTGGAAAGCTCACTGCGTTTAAACAAAAAAAAGATAAATTATCAGACAAAAGCAGGGCTTATTGTTGCTTAAAACAGATAGCTATGATGCAGAATAAGAAAGAAAAAAAAAGTGGTTATTAGACTAATGATCATGGTGCATCTACTACTCAGAATAGGTAATGGCTAAAGACGTTCTACTCTAAAGAAATTGACCACTTAGTCACTCAAAAATAGGGCAAATTAAGGTTTGATGGTTTATTTAAGTCAGTCATAAGATTTTACTTTAGTGACTTTTCTAGTAACTAATTATTAATACTAACAAAAAAATAAAATAAGTATCAAATGAAAATGCTTAGTTATTTATATTCTTAACCATCTACTTCCTAGCTACTTAATGATGATGTTAAATAAAGAAAAATAAAATTCCAACCTTCAATTTTGGGAAAGTTGGACGATATCGTGGCCCGAATTTAGCTACGGGGTGGAAAATGGAAAAATTATAGCCACCAAGTTTATCAAATTTGGTTTAGCGGCTTAAGAGTGGATAGCAGATAGGAGAAGTCACAGAACACAGAAAGAGGTTAGACGGGCCTTGTGGGTGGGGCAGGCGCGCCACAGTTGTGTAATACTTGATAAAAACTTGGCTCTGATTGCGATCTGATTTTGGTGTCGCGTCGTTTGATTGGTTATTATCTATTGGGTGGAATATAGTGGGGGCGAGCCGGCGACATCGGCAACCTTCTATACTCTTTCTGGGTTCTGTGGGAGAAGTTGCGTAATTCCTCATTTATAAAATGTTTAATGTACTAATAACTAAATGATAATTTAAACCTCAAACATCTACAGTTTTCCTGTCAATATCATATAATTTTTTATACTTTATATCTATTTTGTGTTAAATTGTGTTTAAAGTGCTGACAACGCCCTACTTACAACTAGGGTAAGTACTTATTGTTGATATCTTTGTTTGTATGTCATTATGTTTGTTTGTGTGTCTTTCAGAAGTAAGTATATTATATGGTAAATATTCGAAAATTAATAGATAGGTGTAAATAGGTTCGTAGGAAGAGATCCAAGCTATCAACCGGTAGTTCAGAAAAAAAAATATCTCATCATCATCATCAGCCTATTAATGTCCCCACTGCTGGGGCACAGGCCTTCCCTATGGATGGGAATGGGATATTTGGCCACCACGCGGGCCCAGTACGGATCGGCGGGTGCTAACGACTGCAGATGCAGCTGAGACCAACGGCTTAACGTGTCTTGCGAAGCACGGAGGAACTCGAGATAGAAGATTTTTGGTCACTCATCCAATGACCGACCGCTGCGTATGTTGCTTTACTTCAACGATCGCAGCCGAACGCGCTAACCACACGCGCCATCGAGCTCCTCAAAAAAATATCTAGGGATCAAATATACTTTTGCAATAATATTATTATAGAATCTACTTTTCCAGATTGATGGTTTTCTGATTCATACTAATGTTTCGCTAACCGAGTAACCTTGACGCAATCCAACCTTTTTGTAGAAATATACAAAACTTGTACTTATGTAGATTTTGAGAACTTGATCCCTAGACACCTTTCGCCTAAGGCCTAGAGGCGAAAATTTTATTACGTTCAAATTTTATTAATTTTTGATAATTTTCTCTCATGGGGTTGCCATATTAATAATAAAAACTCGTCGATGTACAATAAATACCCTGTGGATGTATTTAGCGTTTTACCAAATTTTGAGCAAAATTGATTCAGTGGTTAAGGCGTCGCAGGTGGTTAGCGCGTTCGGTCGACGATCGTGAAAGTTAAGCGACTTTAGAAATGGTCGTTCGTAAGATGGGTGACCGAAAATTCATTATCTCGATTTCCTGCACGCTTCGGGAGGCTCGTTGTGTCGTTGGGCCCGGTTACATCTCCAGTCGTCAGCATCCACGTGGGTCATGGCCGAATAATTTTTATTTTGTCCATAAGGAAAGGGTTATGTAACCCCAGCAGTCAGGGCATTGATAGGTTGATGCTGATTATTATTCATTTTAATGAGGATGGCGCAAGTGGTAAGCGCGTTTGGCTGCGATCGATGAACTTAAGCAACTTTCGCAGTGGTCGGTCATTGGATGGGTGACCAAAAATTACTATCTCGCGCTCCTCCGTGCTTCGGAAGGCACGTTAAGCCGTTGGTCTCGGCTGCATCTGCAGTCGTTAGCACCCACCAATCCGCACTGGGCCCGCGTGGTGGGTCATGGCCCGACCTCCCTATTCCATCCATAGGGAAGGCCTGTGCCCCAGCAGTGGGGACATTAATAGGCTGATGATGATGATGATTGTTTTAAGATTTTAGTAATTATTCAGTGCACTGTAGCTATTTCAAGAGCCCAATTTCAATGATCATCAAAGGTTAAATAAAATCCTTAAGCTTACGGTTACTCGCTCGAATTGGAGCGCTCGTTTGGGAAAGTCCACCTCAGGGCGTCCGCTGCATTAAGCGGGAGCACGGTGAGAATCGGGCCTCTCGCAGCGCCACCGATGAGACCGCGCAGGTGAAAACTCGATAATAGAATTAATTTTGTTGATAATACTACCTTCTTGATGTAAAAAATCTTTTGGCGCACGTAAAACCGATTTCCGGCATGGCGAAGCTCTCCCGTAAAATGCAATACCAGTGCTCAACTACTCGCCGATCAGTACGGCGCCAGCGCCCTTCGAGGCAGGACCTATGTAATTTTTACCGCACGCATCCCGAGCAATTCTCCGAGTGTATTTAACGTAAACCGGCTAGTGTTTCACATCTGTCAGGCGTCCCGTGACAGCTCACATTTTTTTTATATCTGGGAAATGCCTCAACGCATCCTTCAGCCACTGGGGGAGCATGAAGAAGAATCCGGGACTACCTACTATACTATCTAGCCAAAAGACGACGTAAATAAGAGCACAGAAGTCAGCCAATCGAGTTTGTTTTTATAGATAGATCAGATAAATGACTCCACCCCCACCTGATGTTAACAACGTGTCTAAAAACTGAACTAACATTAAGATTTTTATCTGGCAATCAAACCCAGCAATCTGTAAAACGTCAAAATTTTGTATTGATACGGATGTTTGTTGCTGTGTTTTCTTGCGGTTATTTTGTATTTAATCATGTCTAAAAGGGGTAAAACCTTACAAATACGGTAGAAAAGCACTACAGCGCCCTCCAATCTAAATCCCATTTTCTGGCCGTATGTTTTTTTAATATCAGTTTGACATGAAAAACAAAACAACGAACAAGTATTATGTTTCCAGCTCAATTGTTTGTTTAGATAAGTATAAAGATAATTTATTTTCAGGTTCAATAGATAAGAAGCATTCCGTATATTCGGATAAGCAGATTGAGCAAGTATTGGACCACGCTCTGAACCACACTGATATCAACAAGTGAGTTTATTTATTTATCTTTCAAGCTACTTATTTACTTTTTAGATATTAACCAGAATGTTACCAGGGTTTGAAACCGGTTTCAAAAATACCGGTAAATAAATGATAATACCGGTTTTTATTAAAGGTTTCGTTCGAAGCGCGTCTGAAATGAAAGCGGTACCTAAATGTATGGAATAGGAAAACTGTGCTGTGACCCGAGGGACCTAGTGCGGATTGGTGGGTGTGACTGTAGATGAAGTGGAACTAACGGCCTAATGTGCCTTCCGAAGCACGGAGGTGCTGGAGATAATAAATTTTTGGTTACTCATCTAACGAACAACCTGCGCCTTTGAGCATTTCCAGCTACTTTACCCGTTATGAAATGGGCTGTTTGAGAAATAGACCTTGGCGCCTGAGGGATTGAAAACTATTTTTTATCTGTCACTTTTGTTCGAAGCCACAAACAAAATGGATAGTACAGAAGGTAATTTCATCTATGTACTTTACTTTTTATACCTACACTCGGCGGTCGCACTAGGATTGCCAATTTTGGGTCGCCAAAATTGTCACACGTAAGTATCTAGTTGTTTGATTTGTTGTTGAGAATGAAACAGGAAGAATGTAAATATTAAACAATGATAATTAAGTGTCGCCGCACACCGGCCACCAACCACAACCACAAAACGCTGCCACCGGCTTATTTCTTGTAGTTTTCATACATTTTATATGGACTAGCCACACACGGTACGCCGGTGGCCGCCACACGCTACAAATCGTTGCTGCTCGCTTCTTGTCTCGCGCCGATACAAAACGCCGCCACACATCACTCGCGCGATTCTCCACCCCTCTCTCCCTTACCTTAGTCAGCCGCTGTCGCGCGCTTCAGGCACTTTAATAGCGGCTCGTGGCGGCGTTTGTGGCTGTGGCGTGTGGCCCGTGTGCGGCGACACTAAAGTATTTAAATTTAAATGTTATTGTTAAATAAGCTACAGTTAGGTAGGTAAAAAAAAACGAAATTTACCTTTTAATGTTGAATTTAAACATTCGTCTCTTAAACAGTTATAAAAGAAACTTTTTTTGTTGCTCTATTTTTGCACAAAAAGTTCACAGAAGCTTGTCTGAAGCGGGTGGAACTCGTGCACGCAGTGGTCCCAAGCGGTCCGGCATATAGTGACCGAGAGCGGCGTCTATGTGTGTGTTGCTCGAGCGCACTTTGTATGTTGATTACCTCCTATACTATCTATTTTTTGGCAAACCATTCATACATTATTCTTCGTTCAGATCATGTAATGTAAACTAATTCTATTAAACTTAATCTCTTTGTTTGCAGAGATGGCTTCATTGACTACCAGGAATACAGATACAGCGACTACAAAGCTAAGAATAAGCACTTAAGAGACGCAGTCACAGCTTAATTAATTCACAACTTTATTACAAAAGTGGACTAAACTTAGGCTTGGTTTAAACTTAATAAATAAAATACAAATTCACAGAATATTCTAGCTTTGGGGCTCGATGATATTAAATCATAGCTTGTAATGTTATTTATGATATAAGTGCGGTAAGGTGATTCATTCAAAAAAAAATTCAAAATTCAATATCGTTTATTCAGTCTAGGCTGTTACAAGCACTTGTGAATGTCGAAAAGCTACGCCATCAGTTCGCAAATCTACGGCGGGAGACCTTGTACTGAGAAGAACCGGCAAGAAACTCAGCAAGGGCTGTTTTTTTCTCCCTGTATTATATACAGAGTCGTCAAATTGAAAAATGACTTCAATATGAGGTAACTCATAAAGTCACTTTCCATTACAAACAAAAAAAAATGCAAATAATATAAAAATTATGACTATAAAATAAAAAATAAAAATATGTAAAAAAAAAATGGTTTAACAAAGTTTAGGAATGACGTGTCCTACCGTTTAGGCAAAATAATAATAATAATAATAATAATAATGGCGATTACAAACGAGTAGACGACTTCGGGGCAGGCCGACATCCCCCAGCGTGGGGCACCACTCTCCGCGTCGTACCAGATCCATACGGCGCCGTCCGCTTCAGATACTGACCAGGTTTTGATGGAGACACCACGAGGAGCTGGTAGAAAGAATATGGTAGTTAGAACAGTTATAAATTAAAAATCATATCTCCACTACTGGGGCTGGTGGAGCTCGATGGCGCAAGTGGTTAGCGCGTTCGACTACAATCGTTGAAGTTAAGCAACTTTCGCAGTGGTCGTCATTGGATGGATGGGAAGCCAGACGGACTGGCGCCGTAACGCGTTACGTAACGAGGCGGACTACTTTCCTATAAGAAGTTATCACTTCAAAATTGAACAGTTTTCTCGCAAATGTGTTGTTAAACATAATAATGTTGTATGACATTCCAGCGGAATAGGTATAACAAAAGTTCTCGACTTCGTCTCTGACTTACATTCGTCTGATCATCATCATCAGCCTATTAATGTCCCCACTGCTGGGGCACAGGCCTTCCCCATGGATGGAATAGGGAGATTGGGCCATGATCCACCACGCCGGCCCAGTGCGGATTGGCGGGTGCTAACGACTGCAGATGCAGCCGGGACCAACGGCTTAACGTGCCTTCCAAAGCACGGAGGAACTCGAGTTAGAAGATTTTTTGGTCACCCATCCAATCCAACTTTAGTCCACGTTTTGTTTTAAATGGTTAAATTGAGTTACTTATAAAACTTGTTATTTCAGACAACGATTTATGTGATATCTATTTATCACTAATTGTGCAATTGTGAAACCTTAACAATTCTAACTGTAAATCTATTTTTAGGATTTGCGTACTTTAAACGTATAATCATTTCGTAACAGGTATGTAATTTACGAATTTGCGTCACTTGATATAGTTTTGTAAACGATATAAATATTTTTTTTTGGTACGGGGTGTAGTACACTTACTGTTTACAACTGTTCGCACTATTTTTATTTACACAAATTTAAAGTTTTTCAGGTAACCTTTATCTGCCAGATAGTTTTAGGGGGTGTTACTTAAATGACAGATAAATAAATAAAACACGTTTTAGCTATAGTAATATCTTTTTATTTGTTAATTTTGTAACTAACTATAGAGCAAATGTTTTTTTTTCATAATAAAATTTTCTTAGATAATATAGTTAAAGTTATTTAATCATTATATTATAAATTTTTACCTAATTTATGATTGTAAGTCCTGAGATGACAAAAGCAATTTTAAAGATGTTGGTAACTAACGGCGTCCGCTGCCTTAAGCGGGCACGGAGCGGACGTCCATGACGGCCACCCGCCTCTCGCAGCGCCGCCTGTACAATTACGAACGCGCGGGTGAACAGTCTATAATGGGTTAGGGTACGGCCAGAGTGCACTCAGATTCAGATTCAGACTCAGAAAACAAGCGCGGGAAATAAACAGTGTAGTTAAAGCAGGGTGGCCATAGTGGCCGCAGGCAACCTGCTTAAACTATACTGTATATTTCTCGCGCTTGTTTTCTGAGTCTGAATCTGAATCTGAATCTGAGTGCACTCTGGCCGTACCCTTACACATTATTTTTGATAATACTACCTAGTCAAAAAGGTATAGAAGACAGCCAATCGAGCATGTGCGACGGGAAACCCGCCTCCCGCAGTGCTCTATGAAATGACGGCTAATCTAATCTCCAGAGCCTTGACCACCGAAAACGTGTGTATCTTGCCTCTCGGTGTTTTATCTGTGTCATTTCGGGGAGTGTGCGGAGGTATTACATAATTTGGTCCCCACTTCCCCTTTCCGCCACCGGACGACCAGGCGCGGCGAGGGCTTTTACCCATAAGTTGTCGAAGTTCCTCCCATTCGCACGAAGCGATTTGCTTCCACTTTCATTATGCGAACGGCTAGGGAGTGGAACTCCTTACCGAGGTCTGTTTTCCCGGACCAATAATCCGGAATCTGGACATATCCAAGGTCAGAGTGAACAGACATCTTCTAGGCAAGCGTGTACCATCCTAGGCCTCATCATCGCTTTCCATCAGGCGAGATTGTGGTCAAACACCTTGCCTATTATGCATTAAAAAAATATGAACCTGCACGGGATCGGACATCCGGTCCGTGCCCCTTAAGGCAGCGGAACCCTAAACCATTTTTAGTTTCAATAATATAATTACGTGATTCGATTTTGTTCTAGTCTGGAAAAGGTAAGCGGGTAAGTACATTTATGTTATTGAAGACTAATTTAACACGCTCAGAGACTTGAATATTTTTTTAATGCTTTTCAAAGTGACATCTTGTTGTCGCTAAAGACTTTATATACTTACTACGCTATCTAGCGCTAGGTATAGCAAAGAAAGTCAAAATTCTAATCAAAGTAAAAAAAAAATGTATAATTGGTATTTTATTCTTATATATTTTGCACAAAAGACTTTTAAAGCCCGGACTTAAGGCAGGACAGGAGAGGGGCCCCACAACAGAGAGGAAAAAAAGAAATTTGACGGGTCACGAACGGGGACGGGGTATTAGGGGCCTCCACTCCTTCGTTGCCCCAGGGCCTCCATATCTCTAAATTCAGCCCCACTTTTAAGGTTATTAATGTCTACACCAATCGAACACGCCGACGCGGCCAGGAGGGGAGTAGGCATTTACAGCGTTCCCCTCTGTCGATTTTCTCCCGCTGTTTGGCCAGCTCAAAAGCAAAACTAGTTGCTAGTAGTTTATATTTCACTAGACTGACTCAAGTCTATAGAGGTATAAGACTAGAGTAGGGGAGCTCTGGACTCTACTACAAGTGGAAGTGTCCGTTTAGTAGAAAAAGAAAGAAGATGCGGGACGGCTAGCTATCTCTCTCTCTTGCGACGCTGCGCAGACGTGTGAATGGTCGGTATTGCTGCGCAGTCGTGTGATTGGTCGGTATTCATCCACAGGTTTTTCATCTAATGCGCATTAGCGATTAGAGAGAGAAAGGCTAACCGTCTCTCATCTTATTCTCTTTCTACTAGACGGACACTTTTTGAGCGGCCTTCCCCACTCTATTCTTATACCTCTATGCTCGAGTCGCGAGAGTGTAAGTTAAAACACAAAAAAAAGTCAAAAGGTTCAGTAATTTGTTTTAAAAACAGATTTGCAACTTCAAACTTAAAAGAGGTTGGTGTAACATTTCAAATGTAAGTAGAATTAACTATTAATAGTCCAGTCAAATTACGGAAAAAAAAGGGCTAAAAAAACATGAGCGAGCACAGTTTGGGGATTTTGAGGATCGATAGGGGGATGCATCCTGAGCTTAAGTTCCAATTTGAGGGGCTGTACTGAGGTCAGCTCAAGGTCATTTCGATGCAAACGCGTTTAATTCGATATCTCGAGAAATATCAGTGTTAGCCAAAAAATTATAGAGACCTTTTTTCTTCTAAATGAAATTTATTAACTTTTTTATTTAAAACTTTTTTTGTAACATCAATATTTTTTAAGTTATTACTCCCGCAAGGCAAAAATTTCATTTTTTTCCCTATTTTTCGTCGTTTTCTCCCCAAACATTCAATTTTATTGAATTTTACCGATCATCAACGTGTATATCTTTTAATTATGCACAATTTTGTTCTTAAACTTTTTTCTGTAACTTCAATACCTTCGGAGTTATTAGACCTCGGGTGCTTAATTTTCCGAATTTTATAACCTTTTTTTTGTATCAATAAATGTGTGAAACAGTTTTAATTGTTAATTTACTTGTTACCCAAACAAACCCATAAATTTACCCAAATTAAATACCCAATTTTTAAATAGTTTAATCGATTTACCCTTTTATATTGCGACAGTGGCGTGGATTTCGCTCGGTAAAATAATATATAACTCCGAAGGTATTGAAGTTACAGAAAAAAGTTTAAGAACAAAATTGTGCATAATTAAAAGATATACACGTTGATGATCGGTAAAATTCAATAAAATTGAATGTTTGGGGAGATAACGGCGACAAATAGGGAAAAAAATGAAATTTTTGCCTTGCGGGAGTAATAACTTAAAAAATATTGATGTTACAAAAAAAAGTTTTAAATAAAAAAGTTAATAAATTTCATTTAGAAGAAAAAAGGTCTCTATAATTTTTTGGCTAACACTGATATTTCTCGAGATATCGAATTAAACGCGTTTGCATCGAAATGACCTTGAGCTGACCTCAGTACAGCCCCTCAAATTGGAACTTAAGCTCAGGATGCACCCCCCTATCGATCCTCAAAATCCCCAAACTGTGTTCGCTCATGTTTATTTGATTCCGTAATTTGACTGGACTATAACATATTATTTCCATGTAACCACTTTTAAACAGAATATGAATATTGTTTTATAGAAATTCAATCTTCGGACTTGTTTGACAGAACAATCGACACGCCAGTACAAATTTCAGATCTGTCAAAAAAAGAACTTAAGATTATGATATGACGATTTAGTGTTGTCATTTTTTATGTGCGAGTATTGTAATTACAATTTAGTTTTTGGCGAATGTATGGTAGACTGCATATGCGGACACAATAATATTGAAATTATTCTGCCACTTTTTGCGGGGGGAGGAACATGCACACCTCCCCCCGCAAAAAGTGGCAGAATGATTTCAATATTATTGTGTCACTATGGCTACTCCCCGCGTTACTCTATGCAAAATCCAAAAACATTATTTATTTGGTTTTCGAAAAAGGTCTTTATTCATCGACATCACATTTATCACTCTTTATTCAATGTTTCCCCTGCTGGGGCACAGGCCTTCCCTATGGAAGGAAGAGAATGGGTTGGAATTGACCACGGGCCCAATGCAAGTTGGTGGGTGCTAACGACTGCAGATGCAGCCGGGACCAACGGCTAAACGTGCCTTCCGAAGCAGCACGAAGAAATATCAAGTTTCCAGTCACGCTGATGTAGACATGGAGGGGGGGGGGGGGGAGTAGAGGCAACACAGCCTGCCCATTCTGTTGAGTTGGGCATACAAACGATAT